GGAACAGAAAAGAGATGGTTTGAAAGGGGAGTAAAGGAAGCGATTTTTGTGAAAAAATTTTCACCCTCTCTGAACCGTGAAGGAGGTATCAGATTTAACCTGTCTCCTATTTACAATAACTTGTTGACCACCAAGGGACATAGACATGCTGATCAGGCCAACTGAAAGTAGCTATTCAGCCCTAGCCCAAACAATAGGCCTAATCAAGACCCAACGATAGGGAATTTAGAAATCAATGGGCCTCTTCACCATAGGGGCATGACTAACCATCCCCACCCAGTCCTCAAATAGGCCACGCTCAGCTTTTTAGCGCAGAGCAACTTCCCGGAGTCTTCACGGAGACTTCAGGGTTGTCTACCGCTGACGAAGCTTCTGTGAGAGAAGCGAAACATCGTTTTTTGTTTTTTACCCACAGGTACAGATGACGACTGACAGAACCCTTTCTACGATGGAACTTTCCTGTACGACTGAGAGCCTCCACAAGCAACGGATAATAACTTTTAATATTCACAGCTTTTGCATGATACTTAATGCAAATAAAAAAAAATTCAACCATTGAGACTGACATATACGTGTATATATATTTTTTTCACAAACATTTTATGGAAATCAGTTAAATTGCTAAGGGCGCAAACAAACAACCCTGAAAACTAACCTCTAAGGAGGAGGAGCAACCAAAATATGAAACCTGGCCAATATAAGACATAATGTAGACAGCAAAACAAATATATTCAATAAACTTCTATTTCTTTGCAGTATATCCATCAAGATGATTAGTCTTCTGAAGTGCAAAAGAAGAAGAAAAAACATTAAAATTACAGTAAGAAAATAAGTTTGTTCCGACGACTCTTTCGAGGTTTATATCTCATGCTTTTTTTTCCTGTCTCCCAAGAGCATTTATTTTATTGTCATGCAGGAGGGTTTTGGAATTCATGAAAACAGCCTCAATAATCTTTATAATAAATAATAAGACAGCTCAACAAACACCAAATGGAGGCCAGTTCTTATCGGGGGTGGTTCATAAAGCGGCACAGCAGGATTGAGAGACTCAGTCACCACAGGTGGTAATTTTAATGATCATAACAATAAATATTCCACGGATAGTCTCAACATATCGATTCACTCAATCAGGAAAGATTTCATTGCATGAAAGGCAAGTCACAAGCTTTAGCGAAACGCCTGTTATATTTGTGTCCTGTCAGATGAAACGGCTTCAGTCATCTGCTCAGCATAATGTTGCAAGCCCGACAATACATGTCAAAAATTGAACTGAGTTTGCCCAAAAAGATTAAAGGTCAACTTTAGGGTAATATCAAAACATCACAGCCATAATTCAGTACCATGTGACTCAGAAACAGAATGCTGAGACAAAATAAATCTTCACAGCAATATACTATAACCTAGGATGCATCATGTCAAACTCTGTTTTTGCATTAACTGGATAATGAATATCATACCCCCAGAATGTGTAGTATTAATATTAATTAGAGGAGTGGGGATTTGCATGCATTGATATGTGTCAATTGTTAGATGAGGAATACTGGACTACTCCCAACCATTCCCAAAACCTGCTTTGTGATGATTTGAACATTCATCAACTTGGTGACATTTCTTCATGATTTGACAATAAATCATGCTTTGGTTCCCCTTCCGTCTTGCATGATGCAATAAGTTCTTATCCATTCTCTCAAGTATTTCTATGTTCACAAATCATTTACCACAAGGGCCCATAACAGTTGCGGTGGGACTGGACATAAACTCAGCATGTGCTTGTATGTTTTTATTTGGGGCTTTTCATGATTAAACTGTGCTTCTTCAACTGTTGGTTATTAGTATTCATTATTTTTAATCCACACAGGGGCAAAATTATCCACCCAGGGACAAATGTACTGTAAACATGCTGAGATTTTCAGGCCCCGTGAAAAAAAACCACCGTAATTTCTGCACTATAAGGTGGTTCAGAGTACAAGGTGCACCTTCAATGGATGGCCTATTTTAAAACTATGTTCATATATAGAGCGTGCCTCATTATAAGGCACATAGAATATAAGCAACACTATAGTGGCTGCAGTTGTGTTATGCATCCACTAGATCAGGGGTGTCAAATTCATTTTTGTTGCGGGCCACATTGGAGTCACCGTTTCCCTTGGAGGGCCATTAGAACTGTCAAACCATATCAAGTCAAGAATAATGGTTTATTCAACGATTGTTGAAGTGACTGTGATGAGGACTTTGGTCACAAGAAAATGCTTTCATGTTATTTATTACATTTGAAATTTTGAAATGTTGCAAGATTTTAGCAAGCATCAATCATGGAAGTTGATATGTTTGATTTGCTTTCGCGGGCCACATAAAATGATGTGGCGGGCCAGATCTGGCCCCCGGGCCTTGAGTTTGACACCAGTGCACTAGATGGAGCCACGATAAGGGAATACAATACAATACAACTTCATTTATATCGAGCTTTCACAACCGGCTGGAGCTGTAACAAAGCACTTTACCCAACATTTAAACTACTATGTCTAAGAAATCCGAATATTGAACCATATATAAAGCGCATTGGATTATATATCACATTGTCGGCTTTGGAGGAAACTGAATGCTTTTAGGTGTGGTGTGCCTTATCGTGTGGAAACTACGGTAACTTTGGGCACCAGTGTTTCAGTGCACCAATTTGAAAATAGATTATTTCCTTGGAACTCTGTTAGTCATGGCTCGGCCAATCTCTTACGATGTCTTTGCAACATGTATTTGGTTAAAAGTCCATTGTTAGGTTTCACCTTGACCAGAGAGACACTTTTTGTCAACATAGCTCTGCAATTATTTTTAATGGACATATTTAATCTATATTTGTTTTGTCTTGAGCTTGCAAATAAATATTTACTCGAAGTTACTGGAAGTGTCCTCATCGTGTCGTTAGCTAATGACCCAAAACGCTACCAACATTAATTTTCAGGACAACAAAGTGAATGGTTTTAGAGTACTTGAAGTGTTCCATCTATTTCAAATACTTTTTCTTCTGGGTTATGTATTGAATCCAGATGCAAATACCTGGAAATAAAAGCTTAATTTTCAGGTTGCGTTTCTGTTGTGTTGATAATAAACCTAAGTCCACAAAGAAATTGCCCTTGCTGTTCTAGTACATTTGGAGGGGCTTTGTTTTTTGGTCTTGTGTGTAGAACAAAATTAATTCAAACTATGCACCAAATTATTGTTAACTTATTTAATGCCAGCTGTTTCTTTCTGTTTGGGAGAGCCGGTTTCAGCCATTTTTGACCATTTTGCCTATTGAAGGCCTCCAGAAAATTGAATTCTGTAGCTATATAAGGATGGAACATACCAAAAAAAGCCTTAACCCTTTCATCAAGAAAAACAATTTCATCAGGAAAATACATTTCTACCTTTTACCATTCTTTCGTAAACAGCAGTTGGACATTGGTAAGTTTCTTGAATCTCCTCGTTTCCAAGATCAATTCAGAGAAAAAAGAGCTTTTTCTGAAAGGATCCATTTCAAGCAGAACTTTCACTTTGATGCATTTTTTTTTTGCATTTGTGATACCCCAAATATCTAAACAGTGCTTTCCTATGAAACAATTAAAAAAAACAAAAACAAAAAAACAACAAAAAAAAACAAACACAACAAGGGCACTAAAAAAGCAAAATAGCAGTTTATTGCAAGAAAAACACTGCTCTGATGCATCAACTATGCATGAACATTGAACTTTATCCATTTTCTCACTACCACACTGCTTTTGCACACCATCTTGCTAACGCACGTGGAAACGCCGTCCTGAATACACAAAGACACACGCGTTGTGTGGACCAAGATCTGATCAAAGCCACCCCTGCCATGTTAGTGGTGATTTATCATACTGAAATAATTCCCATAGTTTTGATACTTACTGAGGAACTGTGTGAAGCCCTTCATTTAATGTATTTGATTTAAAAAAAAAAAAAACACCAAAAAACTAATTTTACGTCTTGGCACTAAATGATCGGGTTTTTGCAAATGTATTTTGACATCATTACATCCGTGCCATGATGAGTGTTTGTCAATATCTCACAACATTTGAGGCGTAGTTAAGGAGAATTATATACATCCCCGATGCACACATCTCATCATTGCCAATTGTAAACCACCATAATCATTCATAAAATCATAATTACCAGTTCTTTTGAATTACATACCTGTCACATCAAAGGCAAACCATCTCTGTTTTAAGGTATCTGGGATGTTTCATGTTTATCAGTAATGCATATATCAACACCTATCCCAATGCCGGGTATCTTACAGCTCACTGTAATTGTTGTTGGTAAAATGTTTTTCTATATCTTTAATCCTTGATTATGCATGGCAGTACAAATAGTTTTTGCGAATCGGTAAATGGGATAAAATGGCTGCATCTTTCTTCAATCATTTGTCACTTTGTGTGTCATCACAGAAGCTGTCAAATGAGGTCCAAAGTGGCGAGGTCAAAGTCAAGGTATGCAGAAGATGGTCAGGGCCTGACCTTAAGATGCATATTAATGCTCTGCTCCTCCCCTTTGCTGATTTTCACATCAAAAACCACACCCTTACCCCTTCCTCCTCTCACCAGCAAGTGTGTGACGTTCTGATCGCCAACTCACTGCACCGCCTTGAATTCCTCCTCTCAGGTATCCTGCCAGCACACAATACTTTGGAAGTGCATCTAATATTAGCTGGGCTTTGAGTTTGTCTGGCTTTTCACAAGTGTGAACAAAACAGCTTTTTAAGATATATCATTTGGTTTGTTGATGATAGACAAGATCACTTTAAACAAAAAAACTGTTTCTAGTTAAACCAAAATTTTGGAGGAAAACACACTCATCATACAGTAGATGACAGCAGTGTGTGACAAAATCCAGAAATACTGGCACAGGGTGAGACACCATAACAGTACAATTACATAATTGTGGAGAAGTGCTGCCCAACACTTGTGATATACATTGCATATAAAAAGTCTTCAGACCCCAGTTGCATGTGAGGATTTTGTGATGTAATAAAAAAATGAATAAATGATTAGACAGATAAATAAATAAATGCCCACGATAGTTTCAGCAGTACGGCTGTCAAAGTTAAAGTGTTAACTTTTGAGATTATTTTAAATTCTTTAAAGCATTAAAAAAAAATAAAAATAAAAATAAATAAAACAACTCCATTTTATTTACTCCCTGTGTCGGCCTATAATCTCTGCTCATGTGTTAACCCAAATTTAGAGGAGTCACTGGCAAGAACATGGACAAACACGGACTATCGTAGTTTTACTTTTCGTTTCACTTGCGCAATGCTTTTGGATACATCTATCAAGTAATGTGTGCACTTTGCAAAGCCAGTTTCACTTACAATACAAGTTGTATGTAGGTCTTTGGTGTATCATCTCAGAGCAAAATGCCCTGCTCAAGTTTCCTGCTCGGGGCTACTCAAATCGATGATGCTGGATGATGGTGCTTATGGGCAGAAGTACACATATGCGTGAGTGTCACGGATCCAGAAGAGTTCAGAACGGAATCGGATCCCACAAATGCAGACAAGGATGACATTGTTAACAAAATTGTTTACTCAAGAAAAAACAAAAACAAAAAAAAAAAACGCAAGAGCAACAACGTTCAACAAATTACACTGGTGACGAAGAATCAGGACAAAACGGGACAAACCAAAAACACTTGCTCAAAGCAAGGATAAAGATAAACGTAACTCACTTGTCTCTCAAAGGACAAAGAAATCCAACACAGGAAAATACAAACGAAGAAATATCAACAGGAATGAACTACTTACAAGAAAATACTGAGAAAAGCGAAACGAGAAAAGTACGAGGCAAAAGTTATGAATGTCTAGAATATACAGGTAGTTGGAACCGAGAGTCCTTAGCAAGGCTGAATAATCTGACAGCCAGTTGTCGGCGTGGTTTAGCTTTTAAAGGTAGTAGGATAACGATGATGATACAAGACAGGTGCAGCCCTGGAGGGAATGCCCTCCAATCCCACTGGAGACTGAAAAACAAATAGGACAGGATCATGACAGTTTTGAGAAAGTTTTGAGAATTGTTTCTTTGAGAAGAATTGAAGAAAGATGCCTGTAAAACTGAGTCAGTTTGGATCGTTTTTTTCAACAGTTATATTTTACAGAAGTGTAATCAAGAATCAAAGAAAGCTATTGAAGAATCTATGTATACTTTTAATTTGTGAGTTAACATTAATTCCAAGATTCTAATTAATATTTGTTAAAAGATTGTAAAACAAATAAAATACAATAAAAATAGTAGAGGGGGCGGTCCGGTGTTCCAGTGGTTAGCGCGTCGACCTCACAGTGCAGAGGTACCGGGTTCAGTTTCAGCTCTGGCCTCCCTGTGTGGGGTTTGCATGTTCTCCCCGGGCCTGCGTGGGTTTTCTCCGGGTACTCCAGTTTTCCTCCCACATTCCAAAAAAAACCATGCATGGCAGGCTGATTGAACACTCCAAATTGTCCCTCGGTGTGAGTGTGAGCGTGGATGGTTGTTCGTCTTTGTGTGCCCTGCGATTGGCTGGCAACCGGTAAAAGGTGTCCCCCGTCTACTGCCCCAAGACAGCTGGGATAGGCTCCAGGATGCCTCGCGACCCTTGTGAGGATAAGCGGATCAGAAATTGGATGGATGGATGGATAGTAGAAGCATAAGTGGAAAAATGTAATTATTCATTCATTCATTTTCCAATCCGCTTTATCCTCACAAGGGTCTTGGGCGGTGTTGGAGCCTATCCCAGCTGTCTTCATTAATCGCGATTAATTGTGTGATGAATTCATTTTTAAAAAATTGATGGCTTAACAGCACGATTCAAAACGTTTCACACTTTCAAAATAATCTACAACCTGTACAACTCAATATACATGTTTTTGAGGAGGGAAATAAAATCAAACAAGTGAAATAACGTTGTTGCATAAGTGTGCACACCTTATACTGTATTTGAGGTTACCAGGGACTGCCAAACCTATGTTATGCTACTAGGTTGTGTTGGTGGTGCAAAACTCATTATCTCATTTCATGCCTTCAGGGCCATGAGGAAATAAGATATTCCTGCTCTGAATACAAATTCTATTGAAAAGATGAAACTATTTTGTTGTTGTAGTTGTTGTTGTAGTTCTGAAATTAAATGAATTTGAGTCACTGAAACACTTTCCTGATAAAGCCCCTGTCACACTAAGCGGCGAAGAATTTTGAGTGTTTTCGAAGGCAGCCACTGTTGCATTCACGTCAGACTTCGTCAGGGATCGTTGAAGGTTGTAAATGATTGCCAAACAGTCACCAGATGTCCGGCAGGCATTTGCCTGTAGTTTTCTTGTCGCAAGGGAATTTTGTGACCAGTATAATCACTAAAACTGCGAACGGATGTCTGGCGACCATTTATCGAACCCTGACGAATTCTGACGAGAACGAGACGTTTGCTGCCTTCGCTAATACTCACAATTTTTCGCCGTTCAGTGGGATCGGGAGAATGGTAACATTTTTCATTTTAGCAGTCTAGATCCAGGCCTCTTGGGAAGGCAAATAATACAGTTTGACATTAAATTGATCTTGGGAACTTTGGAAACGGTGAAAATTTGAAAAAAAAAAAAAATATATATATATATATATATATATATATATATATATGTCAGAAAATCATATACTTGTTCGATCAAGTTTTTCTGTGAATGTGTCTTCCAAGACACAGATTTGAAGTGAGGGGAAAAAAAAAAAAAAAAAAACTTAAATGGACGGCGGAACCAAAAT